TGGTGGTGGGTTCCTGAAACAACAGATGGGGTGGTGCGGTGGCCACCGGCAGCCGGTGTTGCAGCGAAGTGGGCGCGCGGCTATAAGTAAGAGGTGCGCGCGCGGCGGCGAGGTTAGTCGCCGTCCGCGTCGTTAGCCGACAGCGGTGTCACTTTCCCTCCGGTGCGTCCCACCCCTGCTCGCGCCTACCACGATCCCTACACGCACTCGCCATTCTCACTCGACCGGCGATCCTCGCTTGCGCAAGTCAAAAACTGAAAGGTCGCTGCTATTGGCATTTAACGCTCACTGACATTAACGTTGCATTTTGATGTGCGATGCAGCTTCCTCGTTGAGCTTTATTGTCGCAACAGTGTATCGTTTGGGAAAGGCGCCTGTGCTGACGTGAGTCTCTGTTGCAGCCAGCAGCCCGAGCGAGCCGGGCAGGCGCGCACACGCATTGCACGTGACGGTTCCACGCACTCGCTGACATCGCCACCGCAAAACACTTGCCGTCACAATGATCGCCAGGACATTGATGTGAGTAGCACTTATATTACTATGTGTAAGCTTTTGTCACATATAAAGTGTAAAATCTTAATGAAACTTAATTTGTCATTCAAATTTTAGCCATAGAGAGGAATGTATAAGTAAATGCGATTGAAACAATAATCACTTACTTAATGACTCGTTATTACGATATATGAAGTAACTGGCAATATTCAAATGAGCATTTTACTTTCTAAAAATCCACTAATAATGATGAGTTCAAAACTAGGTATTTGGATAGTTAACACTTCAAAACTTGTCAGTGTTCATTGTCACTTTCATATTATGTTTGTGTAGGTGATTTGTGAACTCACGCCTGTCCATTTTACGTAACTATACATGTTTTAGACGCCTTCAGCCGAGTCGTGTATAATCCCATGAAAATCCGATCCGATTTCTCGGGTGGAAATCAGGTTTTCATTGCTCAACTGCAGCAAACTGGCATCACGAATGAGGGCGCGTGTTTCTCAATGAAGGCTGCGAAACATTGCTTTTAAAATATGCACGACTAAGCGTGCGCGCACATTGTCTCCCGCGCAGACGCCACAGTGCCGCAGCCGCCCGGCGCGGCCTGTACGCCCGCCCGTCGCCCGTCGCCCGTCGCCCGCGCTCGTCGTAAGCTTTGCTCTCGCACAATTAGTATATCACGCTAAATTCCCATCCACTGTAGCAAGAGCCCCACTTTCCACACCCTGTGATATTTGCACATTGTGATCTTCCTTTGTGTTTAAATCTTCATTGAATATCCTATATTTAGGTAGGTACGACCGCAAATTTGCGGCTTACTCAAGTAGGCATATTTTCCATTGTGAAGCTTTTACTTGATTACAAGTTAGTATCGGGTGGAAGTGGAGGTGCAACTCCTCATTCTTAGAGAGAAAAGCCTGTAGTCGTTTATGCCAAATTACAACGTAGTAAAGAAATTAACAGTTTAATGGTCTTCGAGAATAGGCTTTCGTAACGAGCTTTTTATTGCGTCTAGTGCACTACACGTGTCATCGTAAATGGACGTCGCGTGGGTACTTTGATAGCAACGGATAAGACTTATACCGATTTGCCGGCTTTTCATTTGATTATACCAATTGGTACCTATTTAGATAAACGTATAGAATCAATTGTAGGTACACAAAAGACGATAATAAACGAGTGATAGTTTTAATTTTTTTGAGGCATGTCGTATCAAAGCAATACTTTTCCGGAAATATTTGAGTTGTAAAAAAATTTCTTCCATTGTTTAAAGTTTCGATACACCCAGTAAAAACTCTTCAAATTTTATTTTGAATCCTATCGATTCGTTTTTAATGTTCACAAGTTATATTTGCATTCGATGAAGTAATACCTTCATATATTTTTCCTTAATCTGAGGTTCTTTGACTCCAAATTTTCGAGAACTGAACACGATATTTTTATTCCTTTTCGTGAAATGGTTCGTTCACCTTGAAATTCAAAACATATTGTAATGCTGTCCCTAAGAATGGTTTTTAATGAAAATAAATTAAATTTATTTGAATCGGCAAATCTACTACCATAAGGAATGATAAGGACGGACTCCGTACTACTTATATGAACTTCTGAAACTCACGTAAAATAAATTGTTTGACGTTTATATTTTATAATCTACTATAATTATAAACGACTACTATAATTCTTGTCAAAAATTGGTTTCCAAACAGAGCTGGGATATATTATATAATAAGTAAAGGTAATAAGGATCTGAACAAAGTCAGCCAGCTGAACGGTACTTTGTGAAATACCTCAGCAGTATGTGTACGTCGAGGTTGACCACACAAATGATTGCGTGACGACTATGGCCATAAGGGAAAAAATATTGTAGATGCTTTTCCACAGAGGTCTCCCACAACAGTACGTCTTCTATTCCCATTCTTGAGACAGATACGACTAATAATAAACTATGTATAATTTTTGTAATCAGAGTAAAAGACATTTATTTGTTGTCGCGTAATTAAAACATTACTCAACACTATTTTGTATCAAATCTATAGTCAAAATTATGAAAATCTCTCAAAAATAATTACAACAATGTTGAAGGCCCATTTTCTTTCATAAGACTCATTTTCTCTCATAATTTATAGAGTAATTACCACTTTACATACCTGTATCTGTTAATATTATCTCGTGTACTGTTTAGGTTTTTATCGAAAGGTTCATATACATATCGATTTTCAACTGCATTAAATTTAAAAAATCTATTTTCAGATTATGGTTGAAAATAAATATACACATAAATATCCGTTGACAACTATAAATACTTATTATAAGATAGCGTTGTTGTATATTGCGGTCTACACATCAAAATACAAATATTTCTAACAAAAACCATAAGTGTGTGCAATTGCAAGTTTCCTTAGCGCTAAAGTATAATAGGCATTGTTCAGTTTTTTGTAGAAAATAATAAATCTTATCTACCTTTTGTGATGGCATTTTACTATTACGTGTATCTTGATAAAGTGCATAACAATTGTTTAGGCCGTTATGTTATTGTTCCAAAGCACTTCCTAATTAGGTAATTAATACATATACATAGTGTTCTGATTATAATTATTTCACTTTCCCTATTGAAAAGCTCATGTATCGCTTGCAAATCCCTTCGTTAACACCAAGTTGGTGTTGCAAGGTCTCGTTGAATACAAATCACATCAAAGTAAATTCCAAATAATGGTGACGAATGTGTGAAAACGAAAGTTTTATCGATACTTACAACACTAGGCAGTAAACTGCGCGTTAGAAATTTCTTTTGTAAATCCGGCTGTTATTCCATAAGGCTTGTTTCTGCCAAAAAAACTAGATTTATATATTATTTAGCTGCTATACTTTCATGTACCTATCATTTTTATTCGAGTTTAAATGTAGCGAATGGTATGTTAGTGTAATGGTACTGTGTACTGTCGAGTGTGTTGACTCGCGCGGATGGCCTAAGTGGTGGCGTACTAGTATACAGCGTTGGTTTGCCCAGAGACAGCTACGTGTGGGTGGTAGTCACCTTATAATAAAAAAATACATCTATTTGAGACAGTGCCCATAACATAACTAAGATGGATACACTGAGGGCGTTAATGTTAGGCTTCCTCATTAAGTAATTAGAGCAATTACGTAACATCACGCTAGCGTCCCCAGCGTCCTGCTCGCGTTCGCTCTCGCTTCTCTGCGGCCCGCGGTCGCGGACTTCTCTGTAAGACGACTCTAACCTTCACTTTCGCTTTTAGTGTCAAGATATGTACATTCCTATAGTTACAATAGATACGAGTCCAAATTGGGTTCTAATTTTAGTTATCACGCGGTTGAGCCTTAGTCATTCATGTAAATACGTAAGCAATTAATGTGACATTTAGCAAATAAGAGTTTACAAAGTTAAGATTGATTATTTTGGTGATATAAATTTTGTAACAGGCGCTGCATAATCATGCGTGTTGTGTAGAGCTATTAGTTTACTCGTTCAGTAAACTGGCCAAAAGATCGTCGTGTGTATACTGAGCGTGTTTCGGACGTTACGTCGAACGCCGCTTTCGCCTCGAGCATAAATGGAGACGGCATCAACCTCTGCACCTTCCACCACTCAGCCACTGTCATGATAATGAACTTACGTTTCGTAATAAGATTTGACGCTAATAATACTGGCATCCGGACCGACTCGTCGACATATCGCTGTGTTTATCCACAATTTTTACTGTTTATTCAGCTCCATTAATAATAATATATAGTTTATGGATTGCATTAGATAACAAATTACATTGCAGCTAATGTTAACATTGTAGCCGGTGCATTAAAGTAAACGGCAAACATAGTGTCGTGGGAAAAACATCAAACTTTACTTAATTATGAAAAAGTGACTGGGTACGTACCGCAGAATTTTCTCATCGGTGTTTCTAACAATGAATAGATCTAACCGATAAGTGCATGTGGATATATATTCTTCTAAAACCATGTATCCAAGATAGTTACTCAACATATAGTTTACGGGTGTTGTCCAACAACAATATCTTGAGTCAGAGCTGTCCAGTTTGATGCTTTGCACTTTCTATATTTAGTGTAGCGATATGTCAAGGTCAGCCGGTGGCAGCGACAGCGGGTCACGACCCAAAGTCATCTAATCCTACCGTTCTTACGCAACTTTCAAACTCGTTGCTGACCCGCACTAAAAGCCATTAGTCAAAACTGTCTTTCATTTCACTAGATTATGTCTCCATAACAAATTTTTACGTGTTATTTTTACGCCTTGCGCTCCAACACTTCGGCAAACTTGATGTGCAACCATATTAATCGCTAAGCCGCAAATTGGACGCAATGCATAATTTCAATGCTTTCAGCGCGTTCAGCCTTGTAGCGGAAAATTGTACAAGTATTTTTCTCGGCACGTGCGCTGTTGGAACAGTAGCCGCCCGAATGATAGAATCGATGGAATGTTGTAATTCTACTCAACTTTATCGATGCCGTGACAAGAATGCGGTTAGGTCATGTACGAAGTGTATTTCACGCCTATACAGGCACTTATTTATGAGGTTTGTCTAAGCGCTTGCGTTAGTATCCTGAAAGTGAAATAACATTTACTAGGCTGGCTTTCACACTCTTTGCAGTCTTGATTGATACTAATTCAAAATAACGATCATTTACTGTTAGACAGAGTTAATAGGTTAATCGAAAGGGAATGAATGTTTAATTGATAGCGAAAGCACATCGTAAAGTCGTGTGTTTCTAATGTTAGTCGAGCGATTACCTCATGTGCGAATGTACAGTTGGCAAATTGTTATTTGGAGAAAGTGATTTGGAATCAGTACAATTAATATTGTTGAGTTTGTATGTAACTAATCGTAATGTTGAGACAAGGGACCTACTCATTTGAATTATGTACATATTGAAAAAAATAGTCTATACAAATAGTCATCCAATATTTTAAGGTTAGTCAGCGTATTTGGTGCACTGATTTCACTCTTCGTCAATATATCACAGTATTTTATTATTATATCACGATATTAGTTCAATATACATTTAGTATAGTTTTACATGTGTCATTTATACGTGATATAATTAACTCATCTTGTACTAGGTGTCGAGGATACTCAGTAGATTTGCCTTTTACTCGAAATTTTAATAGTTGAAATGACATTTGTCCATGTAATTATGCATGCAGCTCAATACTTGTTATCGCAATCTGTTCATTGAATATATTACTATTAATTATAGAAATAACTTGTGACTTTAAACATTCAAGTTTATACCTACTTTATTTGCAAATATGTTTATGTACCCGCAATGAATTTGGCCTAACCGCTAAATAAGTTTATTGAAGCGGAGCGGAAAGTGGGTGAAATTTAATCAACTGGATTCAACCCCTAATTTGCCACCTTTAGAGGCAGAATATTTTATTCAAATTTAAATGGGATAACTATTGAGGTACACCGTTTCCAACAAAAAAGAATCATCGAAATTGATTCACAAATATCTTAACACCGTAACAACATATAAAAAAAGAAGATTTATTTGAAGTCGGTTAAAAATGAGAGCTACTGTAAAGATATATTGTATCATCTATTGTGGTTAAAAATGAGAGCTACTGTAAAGATATATTGTATCATCTATTTTTGTGGTATTCATGGTGCGCTTAAAATTCTCTATAGTAAATATTGATTTCAAAAATCTAGCTTTTTTTATAAGTTACATGAGATATTCCAAATATTGTATGCGATCGGAATTCATTGTACGTGAGCTGAATTTTGTTTACTGTTGTATCAGGAACACAAATTCAATATGTAGGCAACAGTACGACTTATCTTGTGATGAGTAGAGTATTTACATAATAGACTTTATAATTCTGTATGCGTATGAAGCGGAGAGAAATTGCTGAGTATAAATAGCCTGCAGGCGAATTCCAAAACCGATGACACTGGATAAAGTTGATTATATGACAATGGCCGCTTTGCCTGCTACGGGTTTGAAGCCGGGTAAATGAACGCGGATATAATCGGATGTTTATGTGCATCTTCACATTTTGTAAGCGTCACTTTCGGCTTCAACCAGTTTCACTTTCCTGCCGATGACCTTTACAAAAATGCGCAGTGAGATAACAGATGAATAAAACATTCTGAGGTATTCCCAACTATATGCTGTCTTTCTCTTAGCCATCTTCTATCCGATGCTAAACGTTGCTTAAGAGGTTATAACCTTAGTATAGTAACCTGCTGTATGAGTATAGATTCTAAAAAAAACATGAAGTAAATATCTATATCAAAACGTTCAATACGAAATCGAAATGAATGACCAATAAAAAAAACAAGGTTTCACGTGGTCGTGCCCAAAAATTCTCACTGCAGTGCCTTGAAATTTTCAAAGAAGTTGACCTCTACATATAACATTAAGTCACGTATCAAATCTGATACATAAGTGACAACATGAGTGCTTTAGGGTTGATAACATTAGTTACGTAAGCTCTCTCGGGTTACCTTGCCCTTATAATAATTTAATCTCACTTTAATCTCATCCAATAAATTGTTTTTGTTTATACAACAATTAACACGCGTTTTTGCCACAGGGGCACTAATACCCGTATTTGTCACAGGTGCGTTACATTTCGACTTTTTGAGTGGTTAAGTATCCATATATGATCAGTTCCTGTTTGTAAAACATGTTATGTATCTGCATGATGTGGTAAAAGTTGATTTGGTGGTCTCAGAATGTGAACAAGAGAGTGATTTTGTTGTAAATCCGAATATAATATTAATCGAATGTCGATAAGATTGATCGGAATGCTGTCAGGACTTGATATTTACGAAATGAGTAACCAATTGTCATAATACGAGAATAAGAAACGAACAATGTGTGAATCAGAGGGTGTAATGTATTCTCGTACCGCGTATCAGTAATATTTTCTCATCGTGAGTAGACAGGCGCGGTGCGTGCCGCAGATGCTTCAATTGGCGATTCTGGGCGTGTTGGCGGCGCGTGACTCCCGGCTCGTACCTACTGCGCTCCGGTCGCTGCCACTACCAACGACTCTACATCACTTCGCGCAATCGCGTTTCACGCATAAAAAAGGCATTATAATCTCTCTTTTACATTATACGCCTCATTATTAGTCTGGTCTCTAAATATTTTCGCTAAAAAATGTCGCTATTTTCATCAACTCTGTGCAGAAGAAAAATTATTTATAAAAGCGACTGGATTTTCAGATAAACAAAAGACCAAAGCAACATAAGATGCAACCGCCTATTCATTGATCGAAACGGAAACGACCAAACCTGTAAACACTATCGCTTTTTCCTAATTCGCATCTTGTAAAACATGGGACGATGACGTCGCTTAATTTTTGTTAACATAAATTTATTCCACAAATCAGTCACTTTTTGCTGCTGTGTGTCACGGTTAAAAATCCAGTCATTCTTTTTGTTCTAGTAAAATAATTGTACTTAGAATCTAATTTCTACTAGCCACAGTCAGACATAATTGATATTATCAATACAAAGTCTTACAGATTATAACTGCCTCTGTGGCCGAACGGTTACCATGCCGGACTGCCATGCAGAGGTCCCAGGTTCGATTCCCGGGCCGGGAGAAATATTTGTATGGCCTACATTTATTTGTCTCGTGAGTTCGGGTGTAATTTACAATTGTCTATTTGTGTATCCATGGCACCCGCGACACAGGGTTTCCCTAGTGCGGGGCTATGTCGAGTGTGTGCGTTATTATTATTATTATTATAAATTTTAGTTTATGAATGGAATCTATTAGGAATTATATTTTTGAGCATAAGCATTCCTCCAACGTTATGCAACTCCTTATTATTTATTTATAAACACATTACTGTACTGTGTTACTGTGCAATGCATAGACAAAGAGGTGTTAATTATTACGTGACAGTCGTAGCCAAACAAGGTTGATGAACTTTATAGCCGTTCATTGAAACCAGGATTACCGTATAGTTGACACACCATTGCATGCTTACGTGCTATATTAACTAATTACCTTTAGTATATAGTACATGGTTTTGCCATCTCCAACGGTCAAAGTGAAATGTACCTTAAACCTTAATGTTTGCGGCTGACTTAAAATTTGATGTGGTTTTCCACGTTCATTTAATGAGTAAATTTATAATAATGACTATAGAAACAGCCTCATGCAGCATATAATTTTAGATGATGATCATATATTAGGGATCCGCTCGATATGCTAGGACGCATCAGTATCGCGTCCTTATCAAAGGTGTATCTTATATTGGAGTTTCGCGTTTACAATGATATTAGGCACAGTCTTGTCGACAGTAATATTTGTCAAGTATTTTTTTAATCAGTTGTTTTAATAATTTTATTGCGTAACTAAACAATATTTTCTTTTCTAACGCACCGATCAAAGTGTTATTTAAGTTTTTATTTGATTTAAGAAAGCTAAATTGTAGACTACCTATCTATCACTTAGTTATTAGTTTGACAATTTCTCACGTCTCTGGCACAATTACCACTGCACCGTGATTCTAAATCATACACCACAATGTTATATAATTGCTTCTAGTTTCTCTCCCCGATGTTAATCAATATTTAGTTGTCAAGTAGTTGATTCTTACAACGTCTAAGTAAAGTACTAGTTATCAATTTATAATTTCTTAAGTTATATGTATAATTTTCTTAACTTTTGAGTGAACGACTGTGATGCACCCCAAAAATTTGGCTAAAAGCTTTGAAAATATATTATATAATTTTTTTTTCTCTCGAGTGACTATAAAATAGAGCCTGTTGAAAATGATATGACCACGCGACCGTGAGGTGGGACTACGTGATCTCTGATCCGCCGCAGATGCATGTGTATGAATGATTGGGGGTGGTGCTGCACCGGGGAAAGTTTGAATGAAGGTACAAGGGAACAGTGTATTATATTTCTTGACCGAACGCATAAGGAAGGAGGGAACAAAACGCTTGGAATATCAATATGATTTATTTCTAGTGTGTTTCAGACTTTCTAGTCGAAATTTCGTTTCACTACTGATAATAGAATATGATGTAGTGCAGTGTGTTTTTTACCTCAATAGTAAATTGATACGTGTGCATACTTGCTACGGTACGTTCACTGGTGACCTCGGAGACTCAGGCATGACTGGTACACTAGACCTTGCAAGACGCTTTGTCAGCCGTTACCGTTACACTTGAACATTGTTACTATTTGTTACCAGCAACCACGTCGCTTCACAACACTCGCCGCTTACGTGGTAGTTGAGGAAGTTACTATTACGTCACAGATTAGTATAGTGCCTCACTATAACCCATGGAAATTATACGGTGACATAGGATGGCCAAAATTGTAACACCGAAATTTGACAACTCAAAGTTAGAACATCATCACTTGTAGAACTGCTTTCGTAACTTGCATTAATAATATTACACGGTAAATTTTTTATGTACTAATGCAACACTGTTTGAAATACATATTAAAATAGCCTAAAGGACAGGAAATGAAACTATTTTTCCGGATTTAAATACGCATGTTTGATTTTTCAAACAAACTAACGTTTCGGGCC